CTACAATTGATTTTACTGGGGAAAAACCCCGAAAAAACTCAAATAACCCGAGAAAAAGCGAGAGTGAAAACCCCGAGTTTTATTGGTTTGGTTTGGTCTTTAGATTTAATAACCCGACACAATTGGTTTGATTTGGTAATTATAAAATCCGAACCAACCCGACCTATGTTCACCCCTACTTGTGTGTATTGTCAGTTTCGATTTTCGAGTGGTTTGGGATTGATTTGGAAGAGTGATTCTCATTTTATAAGCTTTAAGTTGGAAGAGTTGACCAAGTTTATCTTTTGTGTATTTGATCTTGGATCAGAGTTTTGATGTATAATATGTTAAAGTAAAAGTGTTATATAATAAAAAATGATAATAAAATATTGATGAATAGTAATAGTATTGATGGATGGTGTTACATCAAATTTGGTGTCACACTATTCACACACCAAATGGTACAAGAAATGGTATTGAGTTGGAGCACCAAAATTTTACACCAAAATAGCATTTGGCGTAAAAATTGGCTCATGGTTGGAGATGGTCTCAACTCTGTCTGTTAAATTTGACAGGGATTTATGAAAAGAATTTAGTAGGAACTCATATTTAAAGGTAAGTTATTTATTTTGGGGGAAAATACATAAGATGAACCTCGAACTTATCCTGAAAAATCAGTTTTCAACCTAACCTTTACGGGTGTTCTTTTTCCGCCCTATACTTGTCCAGGTTGAATTTAATTCCTCACTAAAAATACATAACCAAGCTTGTGGAGGGATGTGTGCTCCACGCTCCGCCACATGTCAATTTCTAATTTATTTTATCTTTTTCAGTTTTTAATTATTTTTCAATCCCGCTCCACCCATGTCATCTTTATTTCGAAAAACATATTGGGTTTCCATAGAGTTATCACTATTATTTCTTTTTCAATCATAACAAAATCAGACCACCAAATTAGACCACCGTGGTAGTTGTTGCTAGCCTAAAGGAAGAAGTTCAGGTAGAACAAAGATGGAGAAGAAAGACCCACCAAAGCTCTTTGACTGAATATTAATCGGAAAAATTATCCGGCGAACTTACCGGCAGAGACAATAAAGACGACTAGAAAAAAAATTCTCTAATGGTAATTTTATTTGATCTTTTGAGACGAGTTAATGAAAATGAGGTTGGGAAAATATTAGTGGCATGGGTCAGGTGGGAAAGAAAATAATGGGGTGAAGGAGGAGGGGAGATTAGGTGGTTCAGCAATGGTGGGGTGTATCGCGGGTTTTTTTTTTTGGGTCGGAGAAGAGATTGAGAGAGAAACAATAAAATAAAAAGAAAAATTAAGTTAAAGAAAGTGGGACCTCACAAATAACTAAGTTAATTTAAATTATGTAATATCAAATAAAAATATAATATGTGTTTGATTTAGTATGTAATTAATATTCTTTTCATGGTTCTACTCGAGTTTAGGAGAGTGAAACCACCTTCTCTGCTATGTCATCATTCAGGGGGATTTTAAATTCAGTCTAAACAAGTATAAGGTGGGAAAAGAACGCCCGTAAAGGTTGAGTTGGAAACTGATTTTTTGGGACAAGTTCGGCATGCATCTTATGTATTTTTCTTTATTTATATAGTTTATGTTATTTTAAATTTATTTCTAGAGTTTGGTGTAGTTTTTGATGTGTAATTTATGCTATTTTGTACTTGGTCCCATTCTTCTACTCTTTCCCGGAAGTCGATGACTATTCATAGCTATTACCTTGACACCAAAGAAGAGTTCGACCCAATGCTTTATTTCTGTCCTAGTTGATCCTGATTCGACATTAGAAGTATATTGATTTTTCCCCAATAACCGAATACTTTTGTCTGTAAATACTGCATATTTGATTCCATCCATAAATCGATTTTCTTCCCTATGAGTTATAGTCTCAATAAGAATGCTAGTTCTTACTGTTCATATATTATGATATGAATAAGGAATAAAAAAAAGTTTCTCTATGGCCTCCTCGTTTTGAGACATTATGGCTTAGGGGTCGACCCCGGTAACAAGGAAGGAATCCATAAAAACTTAGGATCCGACACCATGATAAAATACTACCCTCATGATTAGACCATGTCCCTGAGATTTGATAAAAGAAAGGTGCATTAGCGGTTAATACGTTGTAATTGGATAAGTTATTAGGAATATGACGGAACGAAAGACCAAGAAAAGAAAGAAGAATACACCAAAATGTGATGGGTCTTTCTTGGTATTTAAGGGTATTTTTTTGTTTTACAGTTTTCGTAAATCTAACGGACTTAAATTATTAAATATTTGATAGTGGCAAATGCAATGGATAAAGCTGCTCACTGCATAACTAAGGGTATTTTGGACATATCCTTAAACATAAGGGATCATTTTATCATTTTCTCTGCTTGTTGTAAGCAAATTGGTTTTTAAACAAGAAGCCACGAGATTTTCGTGGCTAATTCCACTCTCCTTATCCCTATCCTCATGAATGCTTAATTGGGCGTGATAGTTTCATGGTAGATAGAAGCCATCACCTTTGGAATTGTCATAATGAAGTTCTTGGACATGAAATGGTTTATGAAAAAGCCAGAGTTTCTAATACTCAATTCATGTGATGACTGATGAGATATAAACAACAAATAAGAAGCTGATTGTGTCACATCTATTTTGTCTACGGAATCTTCTTTTCTTCTTATTTTATTCATATTATTTCATCCGTCTTAAATTATTTAAGGTATTTTTTTTTACACGTTCCTTAAAAAAAATATTAACTAAAAGGATTTTTGACTATTTTACTTTTATTTATGTTTTAGGATGTAATTTCTTTTCATTAAATATTTACTCCATAATTGAGGAGTAGTCTTTAAGAACAATTAGTCAATTACTACTACTATTAAAAGGGTAAAATAAAAATAAGAAAATTAATTTTGTCTTGAACTACTAAAACGATAAATAATTTGGGATATCTAATTTTAAAAAATAGGACAAATGATTTGAAAGGAAGAAAGTACAAAATTAGTTTGAGTTGGTATGAAATCTCCTTCAAAGTTCTAAGGTTTGAATTTTAGAAATAAAAATATTCCCATGGGAAGCATTTTGTCTCTTTAATAAGCTTAATACTAAGCACGAATTCAAATTAATTGAAATTTAATATCGGGTGATTTAACCGAAGAATAGAATGTGGTCCGTCGTTTCAACAACTTCTAGAAACAAAAAATTCAATGAAGTCGAATTACGAAATTTGTTTGGTAAAACTTGGTGGCCAACCGAAGCAGCGTAAACCACAAGGCAACGAAGAGTATTAATTCTACTGATTTAAATGTGAACGTTGACGACATAATACATTTTTGTTAAATAACTTTGAGCCAAGATCCTTGTCTCCTCTGGACAAAATCACCATAGTCATCAGCTTCCTTTTCTTCTTGACTGAAGAAAAAAAAATTCAAAATGTAACAGTCAGATTAGATTGGTCAACGGTAAACGGTATTTATCGGACACTGACATTATAAATAGTTTTATATTATCACTAAATCTTAAACTATGATAGATTAGATTACTATTGAAGTAACTTAAACTATTGAAGTATATACACATACATAAAATTTGAACTTCAAATATTAATAATATAGGACAACTTACATGCATCTTGATTATTTGAGTACCGAATAACTTTATTAAGAACCTAAATAGAAAGAAATTACTTATATCTTTTTGTTTATGTTAGAATTTTAATCTTCAAAATCTGCATCTATCATACCCTTAAAATTTTAATGCTTTATTTGGTAAATCAATCGCACGTGTTCAGTATAAGTTCAATCTCTCTTTTTATTGATTTTTCTTTCTTCAAATTCTCAGTTAACTCCCTCTTTAGTATATTGTCACTGTTTCAGTTTGTTTAATTAAATTCATCCACGCATTCTTTTATCTCCCGCAATAGTAGAGATTGAAAATGTCCCCTACCTCATATATTAATTATTAGCAAAAAGTGTAAAAAGGGAATATAAACCTAACCTCCAACCATAATGGTGGTTACACTAATTAATTGTCTTTGCTATAACTAGCAACCAAAGAAGTAAATGAGATGAATTAAAATGATACTTAACTAATTAGGGGGACATAAACCTAATAACCTACATACGCGCAAGATATAAGGAGAGGAGTTAGAATTTTAAATTTATGAGTTTTAAATTCTAAAAAGACATCTTATTGGACTTTGAATAAATTATTTATAAATATTAAATTACTGGATTTTGCTGAAACTTTAAACAGCCTCGTGGCTCAACCCCTGTAACATAGGTCCTACTAAAACAAATGAGGCCCTTACATCACAAAATTCTATTTCCTTGTGTTATCTAAGCCGTTCTTTCTTTATTTTACTTAGTAAGTGATTAATTAAGAATATCATATTTAGCTGGTTATTAGTCAACAAAATTGATTTTTTACGTAGTAAGCAAATGCCAATTTTGCTTAAAATTTAATTTAAAACTATGATTAAATTAATTGAAATAAGCTAAACAAGACAACAAACTATCCAGTGAAATCACACAAGTGGAATCTGTGGAGGATAGTGAGTTCGCAGACCTTACCCCTATCGGGGGAGTAGAGAGACTGTTTCCAAAAGATAATCGGCCTAAACAACACACTCTTGTAATACTCTAGTTCTCCATATTTTTAAATTTAAATTCGAAAAAGGAGAAATAAGACCATCATTTGCAATGAGATGGCGGAAAACCTTTATTTCGAAATGGATGCAGCGTTATTAAGTTTAGAAACAGAAAACAATTAAAATAAAAGTCAAGTCAGGTTGGCGCATGAAAATAAAAATAAAAAAAAAAAAAAAAAAAAA